TCTCTCTCTCTCTCTCTGTGTGAGTGTGTGTTGTGCGTGTGCGCGCACACACGCATGTGTCTGGGGCAAGCCATGCTCCTCTCAAAATGCTATTCCCAAGTCTGCTAGCCCTTTCCCTTACATCTTTGAAACAATTGACCAGCCTTCCCCCAGCCCAGCCCTCCTCCCCTTCTGCTGCAGACACCAGGCTCAGTTCTTAGCCACTGTCAGCATGTACTCAAGCCCACACATCTCAAGCCCACACATCTAAGCAGAACCATGTGTAGAGCTACCCTAGCATCTTCTTAAGAGCCCTTTACTGTGGGCCTGTGTACTGGAGGCCTCCACAGAGATCTCTGACCTGGCCAGGTACGAGGATTCAGGTCAAGGAGAGAGAATGCGAGCAGGAAAGGGGAATCACCTCTGCTGCTGCCTCCACTGCTGCCTCCACTGCAGCTGCCTCCATCTCCTGCCTCCACCACTCCAAGAGGCTGCATGCACCCTTTGCTCTGTGCTGAGTCAGGTTTGGCTGAGCTGAAAGGCAGACTAGTCAGCAGGGAGTGCGAGGGGGGGTGGTTTCTGGTGGCGGGTGTTTCCAGAGAGCAGATCTCTTCCCAAGTGGCAGTTACAGCTCTTATGACAGAAGCTCTCAGACAATGGAGTAGTTCTCGAACACCTTCATTCCTTCTGGATAGAATTCTTATATACAGCTTGGGGATGGGTCAGGGTCTGGCAGCAGGTACTTCCTATTGGCTTGGTCTAAGAGCTTGGGGAGACCTTATCTACATGTGGGAGGGCTTAGGGCGCTGCTCCTTCATGACTGATGGCCACAGACCTCTCTGCACTGGGGCTGGGGGTGTTGTAACTACATGAGAGGAGACAGGTGCCCAGGAGCATGGCAAAATGCCTTCTGTCCCTCAGGCTCACAGGGGTTTCAAACCTGTGCTCGACCAGGAACCAGGCTGCCTTTCACAGCCCACCGACCCACAGTTTACCTCCAAATCAGCCTAGATGTAGCCATAGACAGTTCTAGAAATAACCAGTGGACAAGACTTTCCCCACTGTAGCCTGGGCTCCTCTGCCCCCAGGCATTCTGCTCTCCTTTCTATATTGGTCCTGAAGAGAAGGGGGGACTGGGCATAGGGTTCCTGACCAAAATCAGTAGGTTCTCCACCTAAAGCCCCTGCTTGCCTCAAAGGCTTTCATTTTAGCCTTCATTTCTTTTTCAGGTGCCCTGGGCCACCTACTGTCCCTCCTGACTCAGGATATGACCTTACACCCACATCATACAGCATGCACACATGCATACATGCTCACACACACAGCTTGCGCACACACATACATGTACACACATAGCACAAATACATGCACACATGCATACATGTCATATACATAACATGAACACACACACACATGCAAACATGCACATACTTACATGCACACATACACAGACAAATACACAATACATGCACACACACAACATGAACACACACATGCATACATGTACACAGACAACATGAACACACACATGCATGCATGCTTACAACACAGCTTGCGCACACACATACATGTACACACACAGCACAAATACATGCACACATGCATGCATGACATATACATAACATGAACACACACATGCATACATGCACACACTGACATGCACACATACACAGCACAAACACACAATACATGTACACACAACATGAACATACACATGCATACATGGACATACAACACAAACACACACATGCATACATGCACACAGACAACATGAACACACACATGCATACATGCTCACACAATGCAAACACACATACTCATACATATATGCACATGCACATACATGCACATATACACAGCACAAACACACACATACACACACACATACATGCACACCTCTGCCCCAACCTCGGGGGCTCAGCTGGGCCCAGAAGAGTGTTGCAGCCCCTTGCTGCTACAGTCCCAGGAAACCCAGAAAAATGTTGGGCCTGGGCTCTATGCCAGGAGAGTGAAATCCTATAGCCAGGGCCACTGTTCCTCTTAGAGAGGGGACCAGTCCTTTTACAAGCCAGTGTGGATGAGCCCATGCTGGGTCATACTGCGTGGACACAGCCAGTACAGTAGATGACATCCAGTATTGTTTGGACCAGGAAGGGCTAGTCTAATGTGCTCCTGGCACAGGGCGAGGCTCCTTCCTGCCCCAGCTCCCGCCCCTCCCAGATCTACTGCTGCCACCCAAAACTGCTCTCCTCCCTGGCAGACAGACACTGGAAACGCTTGGCAGATTGGCTCTCTGACACCCTTGGGAGCCAAGAATCCGATCCTGAGTAAGAGTGGGAAACAGCAGCCACCTGAGGTGCAGGAGGCGTGGCTGCCCAGAATCTGGCCAGGATTCTCAGGTACTGTGCGGTGCTGGGTCCTCCCACTTGTCTGAAGGCTGCTGCCTGCCTGAGGGGGCAGTGTCTGGGAGGAGGGGAACAGTAGAGATCAACTTCACCAGGTGCAATTCACCTAGTGCCACAGCTATGAGGGGCAGCTGGGTCACAAGAATGGCCATTGTACAGATGGGGAAACAGACCCCTCAGAGACAGGAAGACATGCTCTGTGTGTACAGATAGCATTGCACCACAACCACAGTCTAGTTCTCCAAACTCTAGGTAGATATAAAATAGATATCTACACACACAAGGGACCAGATGAAAGGCAGGTGCTGGGGGAAGGGAACAAGGGGTGTGTGCATACAGGGGGGAGAACTGAGCTGTTTCCTGTGAGGGAGGTATACCACCACTGGCTCCCCAGATCTGCAGAGTGTACTGAATGACATAATGCCTGGAGGGAAGCCCACAGAATGCATCCCATGCTATACCTCCACCCCCACCCAGTGACACCAAGGAGACCCACTGACAAGGACATCATCCCAAAGAGTTGTATAGATACCTTGAGCACAAGGCTCAGAGTTTCTCTTGAACTATTGTATGTAGTTCTTGCAGCAGCTTTGTGCCATCATGGTTCCCATCTTGGAGATGGGGAAACTGAGGCACAGGAGGTGAAAAGATTTGTCTGATGGGTTGAGGTCTGAACTCGGGCACTGTAGAATCCTGTGGAACATCCATTAAGCAGAGTCCTAAGGTGGATCACAGGGGGGCCACCGAGTGGCAGAAGGCAAGAACGTGACCATCATTTATCCACCTGAAACCTGCTGTGCCCGGTCAAGAGACAGGAGAGGGGGGAGGGTGGGGCGGTGAACCCACCACCCATGCCCGTCACAGGGCCGATGGGATATAATGGAGGTTTTGAATAGGATCAGCATACAGAGCCCATTAGCCTCAACCCTGACCTCATCCAAACCAGACAGACCTTCAAGAGCTGCGACCATCCTCTCCTTGCCCCAGAGCAGAGACTGCTCCTTCATAGTCTCCCCATCCCTAAGGAAAGTCCCCATCTAGAAGAAAGTCCCCATACTAGCTTCTTGGAATCACTGTGGAAACAGGCACAGCTCCGAGGAGGAGAGGGTGGGGGATGGGAAGGCTAGAAAGGACTTCTTAGACTTGGACAAAGGGCTTGCTTGCTATGTGCACTCTTTACTCAAGCTTCGTGTACCCTTGGCAACCATGCTGGCATCCAATCTGCCATTCTGGAAATGTCTCTGACTCAGAGAGGTAAATTAACCTGTCTGGAGGCAGCACAGCTCTTCCTTACAGAGCTATTCTCTGCCCCATAGCCTATACCCTGGGGACCACGCTCTAGCCCGACAGGAATGTCCTGTCAGTCACAGCCAATTCCCCACCCCCACCCCCAAAGTAAACAAAGAATTCATATCTACACTTGGAAGGGGAAATCTCTCGGCTCTGGGCCTGTGTCTCCATTTGTCAGGTGGGCACATGACCTACTCTGAGCCCTGGGCGGAAGCCGTGAATCTTCAGCCTCAGGTATCAGGAAGCAGATACCCAGTAAATATTGATTTTGCTTGCATGGGAGCAATCCAAGCATTCCCCACAAGAGTGTAGGAACAGCCATGTGATGTCTTCCTGGAGGCTATGTGACTCAGAACACCAGACGCACCTTAGACACGGGATGCTGTGTTTGTGAGGGATGGATGTTCTAACCGCTTTGCTTAGGGCTCCTTTGATTTAGGAGCAAAGAGAGCTGAGCTCTTTCCCGAACAGTGTGGGTGGTACCTCAGTGCCCGATCGATGGACTTAGACCCTCTCTGTTTGCTCCGCTGATAACTCTGGTGACATTGGTTAATATTCACCAGCAAACTCCCCCATATCCCCCTTGGCACCCACTGTTTAAATACAGGCTAGAACAGGGCTCCATCTCGCCAGTCTCAGTCACCACCCAGCTCTGGGACAACGAATTGTGAGTATATTTTTCCCTGGGGAAATATTGGAGGGGCTCCTGAGTCCCTGCCCGGCCCAAGCAGGTAGCAGATCTGGGACCAGGGCAATACAGGGAAGATAAAGTTAATCACACCTGTGGCACCTGGGCCTCCTGTTGCCATAGGAACATCAATCCCTAGGGTCCCTTCTTGAACCACACTGCCCAGGAGATAGCTAGCATCTTCAGATGAGAGGTGACAAAGACGTGGAGGGGTCAAGGTGCAGCCACAGCCATTTCCATGCAGACAGTGCCTGCCCTTCTCTGGCCTTTCCTGTGTGACCTTTCCCAGCCCCTCCCCCCGCATTGTTGATAAGCAAGGTAAGGCTAGAAGAACAGTGGGAGCTGCGGCTCTCCACCTGGCCTCTCCAGCTACACCCAAGATGTATATACCGGGGGGCCTCAGCCTATAAGTCAGGGTGGCTGTCCCAAGCATAGAGGCCTGTGAGCGCTCTCTCTCTCTCTCTCTCTCTCTCTCTCTCTCTCTCTCTTTCTGTGTGTGTGTGTGTGTTTGTGTGTGTGTGTGTACACACATGCACACTCGAGCATGCCACTGCCTTTGGTGGCTCGAGCCAACTTCCTGAGTGAGCATGTGAAGGTGCCCCATCTCTAAACAAAGCACTCGTATAACTTTCAGCTTCACAGCCCCTCATGGAGGAGGCTATGGTGCTTATCCCCATTTTACAGATAAGAAAATGGGGAACAGAGAGGGTAATAGTTTGTCCCAATCATATAGAGCCTACCATTCAAACGGAGGCAGCTGTTCCAGACTCCAGGCTCCTGACCTTGCTGACTGAGACATCTTCCCCTCTGGGCTGCATCGAAGCTTGGATAGCTGCTAACCTCTCTGATCTATTAGCAGAAGAGCTTTGCCCCTCCCCCAGCCAGCCTTGCTCTATGGAGAGTTGGAGGGGTTTGGTTTATCATCATGGTATTTTGCAATGTAAGCAAGAATGAGGTGGCCAAATTCCAAGGATACCACTGAGAAAGCCAGAGTAGGCTAATAAGGGGTGCTTCTGGGAGCTCTGCACACGCCTTTGCACACTGGTTCTCTGAATCAGTCACTTTATCTTCATCCCGTAACTTATGTTCCAAAAGTAAGTGGTCTCAGGTCACACAGAGAACAGCAATCGGAACTCGGACCTGTCGTTTTAGCACTAATGATTTTGTCATTTAGCCAAGCAGTCCTCGGACGTCTACTTTAAGTCTTCTGGCTTCAATTTTGTACATAGAAAAGGGCTCTAACCTAGAACTAAACTGTGTGGAATTGAATACCAGCTCTTTTTCCCAGCTGGCTCTGTGGGATTGAGAATGTGGCTTAGCCTGTTTGGACCTCAGTTTTTCTCCCCATAAAATGGAACTAATGTTAAGGGAAAGTTAGATGAGCTGGGTATAAAACACATTTTGTGAGCATGTCCAAAAGGACTGCAGTTAATACTCTTGTTTGCATAGTGCATAGCTTCTAATAGGCAGTACACTTGGGTGTGATGGGACACGCACTTGACCCAGGGCTGACATGACCTAGCAGGAGCCCTTCTGTCTGTGCTATTTAATCGTGACTTTGTTCCTGCCGCACCCCATTCTTCAGAAGACTCTTCTGTGCAAACAGGAGGCTTAAAGAGATGAGGTCATTTGCTCCAGGCCACTGGCAGTAAGTGGCAGAGCTGGGCTCCCACAGACCGGCCTGCTACGGTTGATTTTCTGGGTCTGCTTGGACTACTCTTAATGGATCATTCATTTTCTGCTCCTAGCTGGGATGGTTCAGAATGAAGCAAGGGGAGGCATCGCTTCTCTTGCTTCCCAGAGGCCACACCCACCAGCCTCTGAAGTCAGAATGTCACCATGTGTGATCTCCAGCTTTTTGGCTTCTGTCCCTACACCACAAGATCTTAAGCTTCTTCTTCTTCAGTTGTCTGTCTTCCCTGGCTCAGATCTCTGGAGGTTATAGGGGGTCAGCAGTGAGAAAGCATGGCTCAGGACCCTGATGCTTGAAGGAACGGGGTGGGATGCAAAACATACCCTGGATACTTGAGACCAGAGTCAGGGCCTGTGACAGTGCACATTCATTGCCATAGTGATCGTATTAAGAAATGCCTAGGCCAGTAGCCAAACACTAAAGGCCTTTTCCAAAGATTAACTGAGATTGTAAACCTGTCCCAAATGTGGGTGCTCCATCCCATGGGTGGGAGTCCCAGACCAAATGAAAAGGAGACAGTGAGCTGAGCTCTGACTTTCCCTACCCTGTTTCGTCACCCTCTGAGGTGAGAGCCAGCAGCCACGCTGGGCTGCTGCCACTAGCACGCCTTTTCCCCATGAATCACTGTATCCCCTCAAACTGTGACCAAAACAAACTTCTACCCACTTAAGTTATTTCTTCTCAACTATTTGACCCAGTCCTGGCCTTCTCAAGTCTGAAACCCAAGCATATTGCTGTGTCAGTCAGGGATGCGGGGAGAGGGTGTCCTCCAGGCCTCAGACCCCTTCCCATTAAAGGGAAAGATGGAAGAGAGTGTGATCACCCTAGCGGGGCCTCTCTCCTTTCCCGTGCTGGCCTTCCCTCCTTGAAGCTCAGCAGCCCCCAAACAGAACACGTCATCTCATCCCCTGCTAAGCAGAGATTCTTGGAACTAAGTCCAATGTCTGGGATGAGGAAGTCGTTCAGTCAGTACAATGCCTACCACACAATTATGAGAACCAGAGCTTGCTCCTTAGACTCCAAGTATCAAGCCAAGTGAGGAGCCATGTTTTGTACTCAATCCTAGCCCTGAGGAGATGGACATAGGCAATCTCAGCCTTGTTGAACAGCTTGCCTAGTTGAACTGTCAGCCTCCACGCCATTGAGACACTGTTTCATAAGAAAAGTTGGATGGCACCTAAGGTGTCACACCTGAGGAGGACCTCTGGCCTCTCTACATGTATGTGCAGACATGTGTATCAGCACCTGCACAAACATGTGCAGGGCATATCCTCCTTTTAGTTCCCCCAGACCCATTCCATATAACTGAGGCCCCCACTCCATATAGCTGAGGCTGCACAATCTGGGCTGTGCTTCCCAAATACTGTTGAGTGCCTAGTGGATAGTGATGGTCATGTCAGGAATTGAATTGTCAGCCTCTGGCCTGAGGACACTTGGAATGTTTTCTTGCCACCCTGTGAAGGCCCAGCCTCTTCATTAAGGTGGGGAATTTCCACGGGGCTTGCCGAACTCCAAATAAGAAGTAACAAAAACATCGGGAATGGAAATATACAGAACTAAATTCAGTGTTGTCTCCAGCCCTAACACAGCAGCCTGTTTAAGAAAGCATCGACATGTACTATGCAGCCCGTGTTCAGCTCTCCGGATTATTTACAGTGAAGGGCAGAAAGCACGGTGGTAACTAGAGATCTCTGTGCTTCATTGTGTTATATAGTTGGAAAGATAAGTTGTACAGGTCAAGGGCAGGCAAAATTCAGTATTTCTTGTCTTCAACTTTCTCCCTTCAGGTTCGCAGATCCCAAACTTGAGGGTTTCATTATATTAAGATGATAACTCTAGCTGTGAGTCCAGGGATGTGACTCTCTTGGTAGAGTGTCCACATGGCTACAGAGCTACATAAAGAGGTCATGGTGGTACACACCTGTCATCCAAGCATTCTAGAAGTAGAAGTAGGAGGACCAGGTGTTCCAGGCTGTCCTCAGCTAGATAGCGAATTTAAGGCTAGCCTGGGACACATGAGATTATCTCAGAAGCATAAAATAAAAAGGATGGTGTTTTCATTATTGAACTAATATCTAACTATGTGGTATGGCTGCCTGACCATTCTTCATAGATGTGGACTCAGTTTCCCCAACTATGAAGAGAGCATGGAGTTGTTACACTAGTAGCTTGTGGTACATAGAGAAGAAAGAATTCCGTAGAGCTGGGAGGTGGGGCCTGGGGGTGTGATCTTGACTTTGGCTGTCTCCAGGCAGAGTTGGCCCTCTCTGGTGCAACCCAAGCCTTGCTTCACTTCAGCTACGCAACAAGTTGCCCTCCCCTGCCCTCTTTCCAGCCTTTGAGCTTGCAGCATCTGCCACCCTTCGGTCCCTAAGACTGCCCTTTGAGAGCTTGTCCATGGAAGGTCTGATGCAGAGACTAGGTTCCCTGAGGTCTCCCAACCCCACCTTGTAGGAAAGACAGAACAAGGATGAAATGATTTGTCCTGGCTCACAGCGCTGGGGAGTGACAGAGCCTGGGTTAGAACTTGGGGCTGTCGTGGATAGATCACCCCACCACACACATATCCCGTATTAAAGCAGAGGCACTAACTTCTGCTCTTCCAGAACTGAGTTAGGAGTACTGGCAAGATGGCAGATGGGCTGCCAGAGATGAGGCCAGCCCAGCCTGGAGCTGGGGTTACAGAGCAGAGCAGAGACAGTCCCTCTTTCAGGGTAAGCCACTGGGGACTGAAGTTCATTGTGGAGACTGATTGTGGACAGCCCCTTCGTTCCTCCTCCTCCTCCTTCTCTATGTGTCTATGGATGCGCACGCACACACACACACACATGTGTGTGTGTGCACGCACATGCGAGCATGCCTGTGTATAGTGCCCAAGGAGGCCAGAGAAAGGCTGTAGATGCCCTGAAACTCGTTCCAGATGGTTGTAACCTGTCATTGGAGGTCCCGGGACTCGACTGCAAGCCCTCTTCTAGAGCACCAAGTGTTCCTACCTACTGAGCCATCTCTCTAGCCCACCTGGTTATTTCTTCACAACCTTAACTTCCCTGTGTGCCCAGGTCACCAACATTCATCTCCTCTCCTGTAAGGATCACCACAAGATCAACATGCTCTCCCTGGGGATCAGAGGTAGCACCCACACATGGATTCTTGAGAGCTCCCATGGATCTTTCCAGCTTCAAGTGATCCTTAGTCCAGACCACAGTGTTCTTCTTGTAATTACTGACAAGGCCACTTTTCACCCTGTGCCTTGGTTTCTTCCCTACAAACTGTGGCGGGTACCTGTGGCTCAAGGTCATTTCAGGTGGAAACCTAACTGTTGAGAGTATTGGTGAAGAACTGGACCACTCGTCGGTGCAGCATTGATCTGCTGTGCTGTCACTTGTTAGCTTTGAGTGTATCGCTTAACATCTGCATTCCCAGAGAACTGAAGGCAGTAATGGCTTTCCTGCAGGACCTTGGGAGTTCACACATGTGAGGGTTCAGGACAGCACTGGGTGGATGGGGAGCATCCTATCTGATCTTGTTTACTTTCGTTTTCACACATGCTCGTGTGTGATGTGTGAACATGTATGTGGAAACATCCTTGTGCATATGTGTGTGGAAACCTCAGGTTGATGTTGGATAGTTTCCTCAGCTACCTTCCACCTCATTCGTCAAAGTAATGTCTTTCCTTGACCTTCTCACAGAGCTTCTCCGAGATTCTGGCTAGCAAAGCCGACCAACTTGCTTTAGGGATGCCCTGTCGCCACCCCCACTACCCCCACCCCTGTACTGGGATTGCAAATGGCTATTATATCTGTATTTTATGTGGGTTCTCGACAGCTAAACTCCTATTCTCATACTTTCCTTTCATAAGCGCTTTTTTCCCACAGAACTGTCTCTATTTTCTTCAAAGATAGCAGTTCAGAACAGTGCTTAATCTAGGCTGGGCACGGCGCCTGTTATTAGACCACGGTTATTCTTATATTGTTTCAAGTGGTAGCAGATGGGAGTCACCACAGTCCTGACCTTGCATCTCTTTCTGTGTCTTGCAGGAAAATGACACCTTCCATCTCATGGGGGCTCCTGCTTCTGGCAGGCCTGTGTTGCCTGGTCCCCAGCTTCCTGGCTGAGGATGCCCAGGAGACAGACACCTCCCAGCCAGAACAAAACCCAGCCTCACATGGGATCGCTCCAAACCTGGCGAACTTTGCCTTCAGCCTATACCGGGAGCTGGTCCATCAGTCCAATACTTCCAACATCTTCTTCTCTCCCGTGAGCATCGCCACAGCCTTTGCTATGCTCTCCCTGGGGAGCAAGGGCGACACTCACTCACAGATTCTAGAGGGCCTGGAGTTCAACCTCACACAAACACCGGAGGCTGACATCCACAAAGCCTTCCATCACCTCCTCCAAACCCTCAACAGGCCAGACAATGAGCTGCAGCTGAACACAGGCAATGGCCTCTTTGTCGACAACAAGCTGAAGCTGGTGGAGAAGTTTCTGGAAGAGGTCAAGAACCATTACCACTCAGAAGCCTTCTCCGTCAACTTTGCAGACTCAGAAGAGGCCAAGAAAGTGATTAATAATTTTGTGGAGAAGGGGACCCAAGGCAAGATTGTTGATTTGGTGAAGGACCTGAACCAAGACACGCTTTTCGCTCTGGTGAATTACATTTTCTTTAGAGGTAAGATGGCATAATCAGCTTGAGCTGGTATCCATGGAGACACCCGTACATATTCTCAAGGACCAGTTTCTGAGCTCTCACTCCCAGCTGTGGCACTGTCCCGTCCCATTCCCTACTCTCGGGTGGGTAAACACTGACATCTTTCAAAACATCAATTAAGTTTAGAAATTAGCTTCAAACAATGAAATCCACTGACTTCTTTGAAGGACTGATGAGAGCCTTTTTGGTTCTAACGCTCACCTCCCCTACAAAGGAGAGTCGTAGAATGTGCAGTCCTTCCTCAGCTTCAGAACCAACCATCCTGGTTGTGATGGTCTGAAGAGAGTACCACTCCATGGAGTGTACTTGGGCAGCTCTTCTGTTGGATACCAGTATGAACTCCGGAAACATGGGCTCAAATCCAGCCACTACTGTCTGTTAGCCTTGATAGTGGACAAGCCATTTTACCTGTTTGGGGTGTGACTGTCCATATTACCAGGGACAAAGCTAGCTGACTGCTGTGTGGGGATGAAAGAATTAGTGAGGTTACCCAGTGTACAGAACATAAGCACCTGATCAACTAACATCTTAAGCATGGCCTCCAGTCTGGAAGTAGTTAGGTCAAGACTCCCCAGAGAAATCACCAGAGTGGAGTGTTGGAGTCAAAACTAGGAGCTGCTCTGGCCTTCATGGCTCCCTTGTCCCTCAGCAGAGTCCTGTGGAGCACAGTACCAGGCCAGCATAGTTTAAGTCCCAGCACTTCTGTGATAAGGACAGGTATCAACTTCTCCCCAATGCCTTCACCTCTTCCTATCCAAAAGAAAGGTGACGCTTGGGTTCCTGATGCCCTTCTCATGCTGACAGCCTCGATCTTGGGTCCCTGAGGTCCTCAGCCCACTCTGGCAGCTTCAGTGACGGGTACCTGAAGGCCTTGCCCACTCTAGTGGCCTTGTTGATGTGTCTGTGAGACTCTGACCCATTCTGATGGGTTCTTGTTGGTGATTCCCCAAAGTCCCCACCCACTTCAGTAATCTTGATGGTGGGGGTCTTATACAACAGATAGACATCTGCACTGAACCCTTGGATGTAGAAAGGGACTTGAGGGGCCCAAAACATTTGTCCTGAGTGATAACTGAACCTAGTTGCCAATGGGTGTGCCATTCCTGATAAAAAGCTAGCATATAGAATTATCAGGAGTTCCATTTATAACCCCAAATCACCTTTCTATAAATATATAACAATTACATAAGCTATTTTCTAGACACAAGGGGGATGGTTGCTGTCAGCTTCTGTAATCTGGAAGGTCTGAGTTCTCCTCGAGTCTTGAGTTACCCTTACCAAACTCCCTGGGCAGTCTAGAAGGCTAGTAGTGACACCCCTGTGCACATGAAAAGCCAAGGGCCTGTGTCACCACCTCACTGGCTAAGGTCTCCTCTCATTCTTCCTTCTGCAGGCAAGTGGAAGAAGCCATTCGACTCAGAGCACACTACGGAAGCTGACTTCCACGTGGACCAGTCCACCAAGGTGAAGGTGCCCATGATGAACCGCCTGGGCATGTTTGACGTGCACCATTGCAGCACGCTGTCCAGCTGGGTGCTGCTGATGGATTACCGGGGCAACGCCACCGCCATCTTCCTCCTGCCCGATGAGGGCAAGATGCAGCATCTGGAGCAAACTCTTACCCAGGAGCACATCTGTAAGATCCTGCTAAACAGGCACACAAGGTGATGACTCCCTGAGGAAGTCAATGACCTTCCCTGAGTGTCCCAAAGGACAGAAAGTGCTTGCCGAAGGTGGACTCTAACCCAAGGCCACATTTAAGTGTATAGGCCAGAAATAGAGATCTCTGGGCAAGTTTGCAGAACAAGGCTCTGTTCCTGTCAGTGCTCAGTGGGGCTGACAGGTCTCTAGGCCCCAGTGGTCCTAGAGCATGTTCCACAGGTCAGAGGACCTGTGCACTGAGTCCAGACTCTTCTGCCTGTGAGAAACCATGAGTTACATGGAACTTCTGGCAGCCCTGAGGTTAAGTGTGGGCAGAGGTTGTGTCCTTGCTTCTCAGCTAGGCCTCTGCCTAGGTCTAATACCCTAAAAGTGCAGAGAACTGGATAAGGCTGAGGCCAGAAAGAGTAAGAGATCCTGAGGGCTGGTAAGACCCTATTGAGCCCTTCTCTTGCCCTGTAGAAACTGAGATCTTAGCCTTCAGCTCTGTGAGAGTGAGGGGAATGTCACTCAGCTGCATTGACCCTCACTCCCCTGAGAATCAGAGAGGAGGAATGGACCAAATACAGCAGGGCATAGTGAAGCATGGCTCCATGTAAACACCTTGAATCTGCCTGAAGGGCTTCTCAGAGGAAGTGGCATTTCAGGTGCTTCTGGAAGCTTGAACTTTGAAATCCCACTGATTTCAATTTCTCTGCTAGAAGGAGGCCATGTAAAAGGGAAGCCCGTGAAGGTGCTTTCATGTCCTGCTGGGAGTAGTAGCATGTTCAGTGTGAGAACCAGCTGGAAACAATTCTGCAACTGGGCAGGTCTCGGCAGAACCCAGAAAGTCCCATGAAACTCCTATAACTTTAACTCTTACCTGCCCACCAGGTCAGCCAATCTCCACTTTCCCAAACTGTCCATCTCTGGAACGTATAACTTGAAGACACTCCTGAGCCCACTGGGCATCACCAAGGTCTTCAACAATGGGGCTGACCTCTCTGGAATCACAGAGGATGCTCCCTTGAAGCTCGGCCAGGTGAGGTTACCCAACTACAGCAATGTCCTGATGTCTCCGGTGTCTATAGGGCAGCACAGGGTGTGGGAGTAGCTCAGAAGAGGAAAAGGAAGCAGAGTTCAGGCTGAGGTCTTTCTGAGGACGGTCAGGACACAATTGGACAGGGTGTGGTCAGATATCAGCTGGAAGGGTCTTCTTATACAGATGGAATTATGGACCCTTCCCTGAGGTGCTGCCCCAATCCTTGCTTTCATCATTGTCTGGAGAATTTGACTATTGCACTCAGTTTATATATATGCACACAGAGGCTTAGGCCTGGTGACCTCAGAGAGTGCTCTGGAATCATTCATCTGTGATATTTAGAGCAATTAGTGAATCATCCATTTGAAAGTATGAGTTCAACCAAGCTGGTTCAGAGAAATTAAAGGCATTTCAGAATGGGCAGAATATTCTTAAGAGTCTGGACATCAGAGGTCATCTTCATAACCCTTGTCACAATGTGCTCACAACTACACACTGGACAGGGACACTCGTGTAGGGGGCATGAAGTTCCTCTTCCTGAAGCTATGAACTACATCCAAGGCCGTGAGAGATGGAATCAGGAAGGAAGAGCAGAGGGGAGTGGACCAAGGCAGGCGAAGAGTGGGAGAGGAGGAGAGGCCTTAGGTGGTCACCATGAAAGGGGGTTGGGGGAGGAACAGGGGGCTGGGGAAGGAGCAGGAAGAGATGGAGGGAGACATGATCCCTAGTGAAGTCCTCCCTGGGTGAGTCCCATGTGAGATCTAGCTCCAGCCAGGAATGGCAATCATCCCACCTCCAACTGGCCTCTGCTTCTCTCTCCACAGGCTGTGCATAAAGCTGTACTCACCATCGATGAGACAGGAACGGAGGCTGCAGGAGCCACAGTCTTGGAAGCCATCCCTATGTCTGTGCCCCCTGACGTGACCTTCAACAGACCTTTTGTTGCCATAATATTTGACACGCACACTCAGAGCCCCCTCTTTGTGGGAAAAGTGATGAATCCCACACACTAGTCACCATTCTCAGAAGTCATCCTCCCTTCTGGGTTGGGTCCCCTTCCCAGTGACATTAAACGCAGGCTGGCCTGGCCCATGCCTGATGCTACTGCAGGTCCTCGACTCTGTGGTTTGTGTGTGTGTGTGTGTGTGTGTGTGTGTGTGTGTGTGTGTGTGTGTATCTCTTTATGCTCTTAGTTTGTTGTGGACTTGAGGTCATAGTGAATCTTGATGTCTCCTCCATCCATGCAAACAGCTTGTGGGCAGAGGACTGTGGCTGAGACCACAGACTCTGGTCCTGGAAGCATCTGCTCTAAAAAGCATCTATCATAGCTGGAAAATGGAGGGATCATGTGGTTCATGCTCACCCAGGGTCCAGTAAGTGTCCATATCCTCTAGTGACTTCTCACCCTCTGTCCTCTGCCCTAGGCTGGAGTCCCTCCCACTGCCAGGGGGGCCACAGCCCATGGTGACCCCCACGGACTCCTAGAGCTGCCAGCTCAGGGGCCAGCTGTCAGCTTCGTCATCTCCATATTCCATCAAGGCAGGATCATGTCCCGTCCCATTCCAACATGCCACCTCACCATGGCTGGCCCCTCCATCTTATCTGCAATTTCCTGAGAATGGTTAGGGGGAGGTTATTGGTGAAGACTTCTGTGCAATTTTTCCCATGGAGGTATGAACAAATGTCTACTCGTCCCAGACAGGGTACCAATGGTATCACTGCACTCAAGTCTAGCTTGGTGAACCAATGACTTTGTTTACAGAGTCTAGATGGCTTAAGTCCAGCTGCATCACTGAAAAGCCCACCCCTGGCATGAGTGACAGGTCACGATAGCTGCATCCCTGGAGCATCCTGAACAACCTGGAGGCAACTCTACAGAAGACGTGTCTTTCCCCATCTATTGCTTATTGCTTTCATATGATCAGGGAGGGGCTTGGAGGTCAGGGAGGAGTTATACATCTCATACCTTGTATAGACTTCCTGAGCCTTCTTCTCTGTTGTCATATAGGACCCTCCCATCCCACCAGAGGAAATGTTTCAGGACAAAGACAAAGCAAGTAGCTTTACAACTGAGCCCTTCCTCCAAGGAGAAGGAGCAGGACCCCAACCTGCTCCTTCTCATTTCCGTCCTGCTCAGGTGTTTGGGAGAGGAGCTCACACATTTCCTAGAAGCAGCCCCTCTGTCAGTAAGCAGGGTGGGCACCTCTGGGTCTCATGTGCACAGGCATAGCAGGCCAGATTCTACTTATTCCATGTCCCTCATCTTCATCTTCAGTTACAGGACCGTGGTCTGTGGGCAGCTCCCAGTGGTCATTGCTGGGGGATCCTAGGCTGTGGGACAGAGCATACTTCTTATGGAACCCAGGGTTTCTCCATGATCACTTCTGTCTGACTCTCAATGGTGTCCATGCTCCAGCTCTTCCCTCCTCTGTCCTCCTCACTGCCTTCCAGGGATAGTCACATCTCCAGAGCTGCAGCAGGAGGCTGTCTTGAAAGCTACCCTGGTTACCAGGCCAGACAGTCCCAATGACTGCAACACCCATAAGTCCATTGGATGAAGCAGAATGAACCTGTTGCCCGGCTCTCCCAGGATGCTCCTGTTATTTCCCTGCCCACCCTAAGCTGATCTAGGGATCCTGTCAGCTACTCTCAGATCAAGAATAGACAGAAAAGCACAAGACCGAGTCTCAGAGCTCCCTGCGAGTCTAAGAGGTCACATCTGTGTAGTTTCACATGGTTTAGCCTATTGCTGGGTCCTGACTGTTGTCTGAACAATCGGCATACTCATCTCTGGGGCTCCAACCTCCTCAGTTGCTTCTGATGACACAAACTCGATCAATCTCCAGGAAGGATTTAAACCCTGAGGGTCTGGTGATCTTTATTCTGCTGGTCCCCTGCTGTGTGTCCTGACTGAGGTTGGCAAATGTCTCTGAACCCTGTGCTTCATCACTGACAACCAGAATTTGAACTGACAAGAGGCTTTGGTTCAGGAACTGCTCTCCCCAAACTATGAGATGAGGCTGGGGGTTGGGGGGATTGGCTTTGTTGCTCACCTCGCTGAACTGCTGTAACTCAGGCTGACACCCCAGCTTTTTTTGGCATGTAGTCCTAGGGCCACACCACGATGCTGGCTGCAGATGGGATATGCTCCCATTCGCCCAATCTGCAGATGAGAAAAGTGAGGTTCTAGGAGGCTGTTTCCCTCCTCCTAAGTCATGTAGCTAGTAAAGAACAAAACCAGTTTCTGGGAGGCATTGGTTCCTAGAAACCTCAACACCTCTGTCCACTGCTGGCTACATTCAGGTCTAGTCCCTCCACACCCTGAGAGCCATGCCAGGGTGTCTTTCGGCAATCCCCACCCCAACCTCCCGGGAAAGAGCGCAGCTCCTTCCTCTTATCAAGCTATTCTGACCCTCAGTGTAGCAGGTTAACTGAGCTGCTCTGTGTAGCCCAGGATACAGGTCTTCCAGTCCCAGGTCTGGCTGCCTGCTATCCTTACACCCCATCCACCCAGCATCAGACCTACCAAGTGCATGTTGGTCCAACTACCTCAATTTCTCTGGCCCAATTGAAGTACCAGCAAGGTTGTTGAGGGAACTAGGTACTCCAGGCTGGATCCTCCACAGGCAGGGACACCCTTGACTCTGGGACAGGTCAGAAGGAAGAAATGAAGCAGACTCAGTGAGTGTGGTGACACAGTAATGGCCTTCCATGCTCTACCTCAGTGTGATGTGGCTCTGTCTGTTAGGATGTTTCAAGATACCGTGAGGTCGGGGATGTGGGGGAGGGGGAGCATTGTTCCTAGCTAAACCAGAGGGCATGTTTTACCATACTGATCCAGATGAACTGGAATTTCTGGTTTTCAGGAGAAACTAGTGGGCTTTGAAAACCCTCCCACAGGTCTAGTTTTACCCGGATTATTTCATTTATGGGTAACCAATGTTATTTTGGTCTGCTCCCCTGTGCCAGAGTTTATTGTAGAAGCTCAGGCCAAACCCATCATTTTCTCATTAATAATGTACAAAGCCAGGGGTGGACATTTGTCCAAAAATAAGCACAGATATATGTTCCATCTTGAGGTCAGCAGACTGAGGCTCAGCTCACACTGAAGGATGTTGCGCTATGGCCGTGGTGTCAGGACAGAACCTGGCATGAGGTCTGTGTGCAATTCACACTCCTTTGAGAGTCCTGAGAAATAAGCTACAGCAAACACCCACCGCTAGCTCTTGGGTGCACCCTGCAGGCAGGGCATGGTTGTTGCCACCCTTGTCTGGTTTACCAGGAGTGCAGTAAACAACTCCTTGCCAGCAGCTCCTATGAGTAAAAGCTACATCTTGGAGGCCACTTAGTGGCTCCTAGTACAGGACTTTAAAGGTCCTCTCTCCGAGGCAAGCTCCCTCACCACCAAGGACACTGAAACAGCCAGGTTAGAAGACACACTATAGCCTGGCAGTGGTGGCGCACGCCTTTAATCCCAGCACTTGGGAGGCAGAGGCAGGCAGATTTCTGAGTTCGAGGCCAGCCTGGTTTACAGAGTGAGTTCCAGGACAGCCAGGGCTACACAGAAAAACCCTGTCTCAAAAAACCAAAAAAAAAAAAAAAAAAAAAAAAAAAGACACACTATAACATTAGGATGCTTGTGTTACCTGGGGCAGGCTTCTCAACTTCTCTGTTGATGTGTTTATAAAAAGAGAAAGAGAAAGAGTATGTTCTGTGGAGGTGTGTGGTGAGGTGTGGGGGAAGGGGATGCGCTCATGGTTGGCCTCTACTTCTCCTTCTCCTTCTCCTTCTCCTTCCTCCTCCTCCTCCTCCTTCCTCTCTCTCTCTCTCTCTCTCTCTCTCTCTCTCTCTCTCTCTCTCTCTGCCTCTACGACTCTCTTAATCCCCGTCCCCATGCTCTGAATAAACTCTATTCTATACTATGCCATCTCATGTGGCTGGTCCCTCAGGGGAATGAGATGCAGGTGTAAACTAGTCATTCTAACGTCAGTTAGATTACAAACGAGACTCAATGGTACCCGTTTTATACTTTGTCTCTAGTGACTGGTACTGGCCAAGGCCAAGAGACACCAGAAGCAGAGAAGGTCCTCGGAGAATATGTCACACTGTCACCTGAAGAGCCATTAGCACAACTGCCTGGAGTTATTCTAAGGCAGGAGTGAAGGGAAAAGAGACCTCCCTCTGCTCATCTCTATGTCACCAGGATGGCATAGCATTTTGGCCTCTCCTACATGGGGCAAGTAGAGTAATAAAGAACTTGACCTCAGCTGGATTCAATCACAGAGGTCTGGGCTTCTTGTGGCTGAAGCACAATCCAGCCCATGATGACTGGGCCACCAGGCTTCATTAGAGCCACTCAAGGGCATCTACACCTACTAACCAAAACTCAGATGATGACAGGGATCTGAAAATGATGCTGAGAGAGACCGGGGAGACAGAGAGACACTCTGCATAAGATGGTGAGGGCCTGAGCTTCCAGCATCAGTATACAAGCTAGGTGTGGTATAATCCCAGCACTATGGAGGTAGACATATCCCTGGGGCTTGCTGGCCAGCCAGCCTGGCTTAATTAGTGAGCTTTGGGTTCAGGGAGAGACCATCTCAACAAAATAGGACGGACAGAAATAGAGGACAACACTTAATAGTGGCCTCTGTGCTGAAGCATACTCACATAAACAAGGGCAGGTGAGGACAGCCTACCATAAGGGTTTCCTTAGAACAGCCTAGAAGTGCAGCGTTCCAGGCAGGGGCCACAGAGTTTACATTGAGAGAGGGCAGATGTCCTGATCCCTAGCTACCCATATGCCTTTGCTATGAGCAGTCAAAGGCACTCTACCAGAACCAATGTGCTGGTTCTAGATTATCTGAGAACAGAAGAGTCTGAACTCGTGAAACATTTAGAGATGAGATCTAAATTCCATCATGCTACTTACAAGGAGAGCACACAGAACAAACAAAATTAGATGTCCAAGAAGGAAAACCACTTTGCCTCTTCCCTCAGCTAGGACTCTCGGAATAAGTGCTAGGATTTAGTAATACGATTGCATTTGTTTCTGATGCGTGACAGGTTTATTTTGTCGACTTGACAGGATCTAGACTCACCCTGGAGT